GTCAGCTTTGTCAAAGATTAGATTACCATATGCAGATGGTTTCATCTCTGGATTCTCAGTCCTGTTCCAGAGGTCAATGTCTCTATTCTTGTGCCTGATCTGCTTATTTATATCATTTTTTAAATTTTTCTGTTGGGGTTTTTCTTGATGATTTGTGGACATTCTTGTATATTCTGATATTAATCCCTTGTTAGTTTTAATGTTTTAAATATCTCTTGTCATCTGCCACTTAACATTGTCTATGATGGCCTTTGTTGGCCAGAAAATGTTAACCATAATACCGTAAAAGCCATCTCTCTTTTTGATTTTATGGTTTTGTTTTTGAATTCCTGTCTAAAATATGTTTGCCTCCTTAGATTACATTAGATACTGTATATTTAGCTCTACCTTTTCCACTCATGTCTAATCTATCTAAATTCCATTTTTGTATTTTGTGTAAGATAGGAAACCAGCTATATTTTTCAATTAGTGAACTAGCTCACTACAAACTAAAAAAAAAAAAAAATCTGTCACCTTTTCCAGTGCTTTGAGGGGCATCTTTATCATATATTAAATTACCATGTTATACTTGAATGTATTTCTGAGCTTTCTTTTCTGTTCCTTTATTTACTTATCAGTTCCTAGAAGGGTACCATACAATTTAACATATATCTTAATAGCTAATAGGATAAATTCTTTCTCTTTGCTCTTCTTTCTCAAGTTGATTTTCAAAGTGATTAGCTATTCATGAAAATTTTTTCATTATAAATGTAAGTCTACCAACTTTTCCTCAAAGTCCAGTTGGAATTTGGTTTGGGATTGCACTGAATTTGCAAATTAATATGGGGTATACTGGTACATTTACCACATTAAATCACCCCAAACATGGACATGGTATATCTTCATTTAGTCAAAACCTCCTTTATATTTTCAAAGAGTATTAAAATATTCTCTGTAAAATCCTGTGCTTTCTGTGGTAGGTTGTTTCCTGGAACCTTTTAGATTTTGTTGTTTTTTTGAGGGATATTTTATTTCC